CACCGTTCTCTCTCCTCTCTCTCTCTCTCTCCCGCCCCCATTGCTGCGGCCGTTGAGGGTTCGCGTCTGCCCTTCTTCGAATTGCAGGTTTTACCTGCGCCATCTGCGCAGCCTCCTTGCACATCTTTTGTAGTCCGCTGGAGGGATTCTCCGCCTCCCTCTCTTTCTCGCTTTGTGTGTTTGTGTGCATGAGAGCGAAGGATGTAACTCCCCAGCGACTCCCCAGGGAAGAAGAAACGTTGCTGCTATTGTTTTCTTCAAGTACCACTTCCTATGCGTGGGCATTTCTTTGCGCATGTGTGACGGGTTCTTTTTTTTTCTTGCATGCAGGAAGGCGGGGCTTTTCCCGGGATTCACTGAACTACGACGCTTCTGTTGTAGTGGAGTGATTGATATAAATTTCCTCTCGTGCTTGTGTGCGTTTCATTTTTATTTGTTTCTTCAGCTGGGAAACACACCTCGACGCAACCGCACGCTGGCGGACACAGCATGAGCTGCGGTCCTCCGTTGCCTTGCCTGCGCAAATTTGCCCCTCCCGCCTCCCGCCTCCTCTCGCCGCAGGCAGAGAGGGCTGCGGCGAAGGAACGACGGCAAGGCCGCAGGAGGAGGGAGTATGCTGATGGTTACGTGTGGCAGCGGTTTCCTCTTTTTCCCGGCACCGCTCTCTGAAAACCTGCATGCGAACACACCGCGACGCACACTGCCTCCGCCCCTCCCATTTCAATTTCTTGCAACAGTGACTGCGGTTTGCTCGCGCAGCCGAAGCTCAATTCGAGAAAAAGAAAAGAAGCGATGGCGACGACGACGAAAGCAGTGGCAATCTGTGTTTAAATTCAGGAGTCTGTTACTTTGCGTTGTGTGTGTGTTGTTTTTTCTTTGGGGGGGGGGTTCAGTTTCCTTCTGCCGCCACTGATTTGTACACGCTTGCCACGCAACGGCCCTTTTTCGTGCTGCCATGTCTCTCTGCGGTCTTTGTCACTCGCTCGCCACTTCTCATTACAACTTTTTCACGAGGAGGTGGGAGAAAGGGGGAGACGATTCGCATTTCTATCGTTGATTAGGTTTCTGAACTCACAGCCAGTCACGCACGCAAACGCATACGTCTACCGTTATATCGCGTGCTAGGTAGAAAACCTGGAGTGAGGGACAATCATGGCCTACGTGTACAAGCGGCAACGCACAACGTCCGAGTATGAGGAGCTCAATGTCTCGGCTTTTGTAGAGAGCTGCATTCACTTCAAGCCCAACCTGCTCTTCTACACCGCGGCCGAGGGAAAGCAGTTTGCCAACGAGGCTATGCAGAATGTCCCACAACAACCTAATATCGTGCTGCTTCTAGGCAATGAGAAGCAGCTGCGGGACGAAAAGGCACTGAGCAGCTTCTTCCCGTACTACAGCAAGGCGGTGGCGTCGGCAATTAACGTCGCTGCTGTCAGCAAAAACTATGTGGCAGAGATTACGCCGCATGCACGCATTCTAGTTGGCATGGTCCCTACCAATGCGTCGCGTCACAATTGCCCTTTGCGACCAGACGTGGTTTCCACCCTGGTTAAGGATGCAATTACGCAAGCTCGTCTGCTAGATAGGGAAAATTCCTCTTTCAGGTCCGTTGATATTTACTCTTGCGAGTCGCAGAATGAACTTTGCATCGCCACCGCCATCGCACGTGGTGCAAACCGCAACTTCTCGGCGAAACGCGGCCGTGCAGAGAAGGGCTATTTGGAACCTGGTCTTTCGGTCCGCGTGTTCTTCGCGCCCAACACTACCAAGCTCAGTTTGGCAGAGGCTGAGAGCGTGTTCGCGTGCGGAAGCCGCCACGCGTTGGAAGTGGCAGCGCTGGTGGTGCAGTTGTGTCAACGGCTCGTGGATGCCCCGACGAACCTGCTTGACACCACCACTTTCGCGGAAATTGCTGCAGGTCACGTGGAAAAGCTGAAGGCGCAGGGACGCGACGTTTCCATTGATATTATCGCTGGGGAGGAATTGCGTGAAAAAGGGTATGGTGGGCTCTACGGCGTCGGCAAGGCGGCAGAGTTTCCCCCGCACCTTGTCACACTTTCATACCGCCCATCCAATGGCATCGACCCGCAAGAGAAGCTGGCGCTCGTGGGAAAGGGCATTGTGTATGACACGGGCGGCTTGTCCATCAAGCCTCCCAGTGGCATGTGCAGCATGAAGCATGATATGGGAGGTGCGGCGGCGGTCTTTTGCGGATTTCTTGGCCTGGCTATGCTGGAGGCGCCTCAGCAGGTTGCATCCTTGTTGTGCCTCGCAGACAATGCCGTGGGGCCGCGGTCCCAGCGCAGCGATGACATCGTCCGCATGAAGTCCGGTCACACGGTTGAAATCAACAACACCGACGCGGAAGGACGACTTGTCCTGGGTGACGGTGTCTATCATGCCTCCGCGCTGCTGCCCTACACCCCTGACGTCATTCTCGACATGGCGACCCTGACAGGCGCGCAGGGCGTCGCCACCGGCCGCGCTCACGCTGCCCTCTACGCCAACAACGGAGGCATCGAGGACCGCCTTCTAAGCGCGAGTCGCACATGTGGTGACCTTTGCTTCCCGATCGTGCATTGCCCTGAGTTTCACTCGTCGGAGTTTACCAGCAAGGTCGCTGATATCCGCAACAGCGTGGCGAATCGGGGCAATGCAAGCGCAAGCTGTGCAGCATATTTTGTCGGCACGCACATCGACTCCAAATACAAAGGCGACTGGGCGCACATAGACATGGCGTCACCGGTTTCACACGATGAGGCCACTGGGTTTGGAGTCGCACTTCTGCTACAGACGTTCGCCCCGTCTATTTACGGCTCCGCATGAGTACGAAAGAGTGTTGCCTTACTTCTTTATTTGCGTGCGTGTATGTCCGTTTTTTGTTTTGTTTTTTAGTAGCTTTACTTTACGTGTATCATGTAACTAGTTGCCGAGGCAAATTTGTAAGTCCTTACATGCGCACATACAAACTTTTGTGTGCGTGTGACTCTGTACACAGTTAATGGGCGGTGGTTAGCGTCGTCTCCACTGGAACGAACATCTCTCGCGGTAGCAGAGAGAACGGGGGAATGGAGGGGCACAAGCAGCGGGGGCAAGAAGAAAATTAAGAGGTAGCAAACGGGTCAAAAACGAAAGCAAAAATAAATAAATGTAAGAAAAAGAAGATTTTTTTAAAAAAAGGAAGGGTAATTCTGGGCAAATCGTATTCGGTTTACGTGCAGGTATGCGCATCGTGGGCATACACTGTTTGAAGGCACTTGAGGCGGCGGCTGCGTCTCGCAGTGAGGCCACAGAAAGTGGGGCTTGGGTAAAGGGCAGGCGGGGGACGCAGGAACAATAGGGGAGGGAGTGAAATAAAAAATGCGCCGGGGAGCGACGAATGAGTGAGGCTTGTTGAGGGATCGAAAGCGCACAGCTAGCGAGCGTGAGAGTGGAAAGCAGGTGGGCGGGTGGGTAGAACGACAAGAAAAAAAAAGTATGAGAAAGAAAAAAGGAAACGACGGAAAAAGGAGAAACGAAAAGTGCGCTGAACGGGCTTTATCGGGGATGATGGGGGAAAATTCTATGAAACTGGACACTGCTGCCTTCAGTTGCCTGCGCCTGCTGCTGTGTTTCTCTTTCGTCCGTTGGTGGGTTGTACCTCTTGTCTTTCAGCCTTAATATTTACACATATATGTATTTGCGATGCATGAAGTGGTCTCTGCCCTTTTCTGCTTCTTATTGGCCTTGTCTTGTTCTGCCACTGTGACGCCGTGACGACACTAGGAACTCCCACACCTCCGGGAAAGCACACATTACACGGGGCGTGGAAGAGGTGCGGCTGAGGGGTTGAACAGCAGCAGAAGCAAGGAAGTAGGCCAAGCAGCAGCGTTCACTTGGCGGTGTCATATTTAGTATTGGACCTGACGCGCCATGGCTCTTCCTGGCTGGGTTCGTCGTTGTGAGGTCTACGCCATTTGCATGGTTTGGCCCATTGCCACCATCGTGGGCCTGGTGTCGACGTACAGGATCTTCATGTGGAGCTACGGCGGCCGTGACTGCTTTCGCTATGTGGCTATTCAGGAGCCGTTCAAGGAGCAGTGGTACCAGGCGAACCCCAAGACGGCGATTGGCCTTGACACTCCCCTGGCGCACGTGCCGAAGTACCTCTCGACACCCGGCCACAGCACAGGCGGAGACGAACACACGCACCATCGCAACTACTAAAGCTGCCAGCAGGAGCGTGCAAGTGCCGGCAATGAGAGAGAGTGATAGAGAGAGGAAACAGACGCAAAAAAAAAAGAAGAAATGGGCAAACGCAATTGTTGAAAGTTCTTTAACCACGAAGTTTGTTTGCGAAAACTTACATGTTTTGTTCCTTTGTGGGGGCGTGAGTGATGCATCGCGTGGATGAATGTACAGCCACCAGCTAAAAACCTCTCCTTCTCACTCTCCGCTCCAGTCTCTGCATGCGTAATCGTTTGTGGTGTGTGTGTATTGCGACGCTGTTTTTGCACTTTCGCCGACGTCCTTCCTCTACTTGCCCGCCTTTTCTTTCCGTCGCACTGACGGCGTGTTTCCGCTGCCCCGTGGGGAGGCCTCCAAGGTACGCTCAGACGAAGAGGGGGTGAGAGAGGGCACCCATACAAGCCACAAGCTCTGCTGGCTCTAAGCGAAGATAACCCAATCACTAGAGGCATGCGAAGTCGAGTCTCTCCGTTTGGGGATTATGTTTTTGTCTGTATGCTTTTGTTCTCTCTCTCTCTCTCTCTCTATCCCCCCTCTTTTTGAACTTACCATCAACGGTGGACAAGACAACTAACAACAACAAGCTATTTGGCAACTAACGGTATTGCTGCAACGTCAGGCATTCCGCATTGGTTTATTAGGGGAGGTTTGATTTAGTTATTTTTTACTTACCTGTATCGACGATATCTGGCTCAATCTGC